GACTTTTCGGGGGACTGCCTACGCCTACGTTGAACTACGGCCCTAGCGGTCGGGTTGATGGAGAGCTGGTGGCAGGAGACCTCGGGGTCGAGTCCGGGCATCTTCGCGGCGCTCTAGGCGAAGAGATCAACATTCTCACGGAGGCAGGCCTCTAGTTGTTTCCTCACGAGTTCGGGCAGCCCCGCCCCAATCTTCACGGTCTTCGTTGTGTCCGCCCCGAGGGTTACGAGCTCGAAGTCCCTGTCTGGAATGGGGCATGTTGGATGGGAAGGTTGCCCGTTGGTTTCTCCGGATTCGTCATCGTGGTTAGGCTCTTCAGTGAAGCGGCAGTCAAGGTCTACAGTGTCGACATGATCTTTCGGTTTGGCCTCTCGGGCGAGAGGCGACTTTGTCACTTTGGTTGGGGGGCCGATTGTGCTGAGACCCTTCATCGCTGCGTCGAAGCATCGTCGGGCGGCTTCGATATCCCTGTTAAGGGTGACAACGGCTCCAAGTTTGGTGTAGTATTTCATTTTAGGTGGACGGTCGACGACACTGCGGTGAGTTCGGCCATCGTCGTTCTTCCCAGGATGCAGTTATATAGAGATGGGCACTCAACGACCAGAAAATGGACGTTGATTTCTCTGGCCGTTTCCTTCTCCCCAAAGGTGACCTTCAGCTCGACATACCCCATGGTCTTGTCTTTGTCCCATTAAAGCCTTGGAGATCAGATCCTAGATAGGGGGACAGGTTGGATTCGTCGAGTTGAAGCGTCGCAAAGAAGTGGGTGTACATGATGTCCATCGAGCTTCCTCCGTCGACCAGGATGCGCCTAACGTCGAAGTTTACCATCTGCGCCCGTATTAGTAGGGGGATGTTAAAGTTGGGTGCCCTTCTGGGGAGTTCCTCGAGGTAGAAGGTGATCGGGTTGGACCGTTCTCGAAATTTGTCGAGCGTGCTCATCTTGCCGGAGCTATTGCTGATAAGCTCGTTGAACTTACCTTTAACTGACCCCACCGATAGCTTGCTCGGAATCCCTCCAGATATGACCATTACCCTCGGGAAATACTCCCACCAGCTGGTGGGGCGCACAGGCTCCTCGGGTAGATCAAGTTCGGCGGGAAGGCTGAACTCTCTAAGGGTAAACCATTCCTCAGGTCGGCTAATGCTAAGGGCAACCTGTAGGCTGAACTCGTTTTTCGGATGAGGGAGGTCCTCGACTCTCTTAGCCTCGGGGGCCTCATGCAGCGGGGGCTCTCCCCTCGGGTGTATCTTTTGAGATGCCTGTCCTTTATCAGAATCTTGATTGTGTCCTTTAGGTGGATGCAATCCTCTGTTACGTGACTGTGGCTTCGATGGAAGCGACAATATTTCGATTTGTCCACGTTGGCTTTGGTGGGTGTCGGTTTTGGGAAATGGACACCTCCCTGGACAAACTCCGTTTTGGTGCACTCGGCCAGTATGTGCTCGCGGGAAGCGATCAATGCGGTGTATTCCGTGAACCGACCAGCTGGGCCACGCTGTTCGCGGGGCTCTCGGGGACGGTCCTCTCGCCGTCGGTGGCTTGAGGCTCCGTCGTCTCGGGACCCGCGGGGGGTCTCTCTGTCCCTGGTGTCATGCGCAGAGTTAGCAGCTTGTGTTTCTTCGAACTGGATATAATGGCGAGCCCGGTCGAGGAAATCTTGGAGGGAGTCTGGTCGATGGATGGCCACGACCTCATAGAATTTGGATTCCCGGCGCATGCCTTGTTCCATTAGGTAACACTTCATATCGTCTGAAGTCGTTACCTGCACCGCTTCCCTTGTGAACCTCTCGATATAGTTCCTGAGGGGTTCGTCGGGGGCTTGGATGATCGCACCCAGCGCGACTTCTGTCTTCGGGTGGCGCCTGGACGCCGTGAAGTGTCGTGAAAAGAGGTCCTTTAGGACCCTCCACGATGTTACAGAATCCGACTCCAAGCTCTTGTACCATGTCATAGCGCCCTTCCGTAGGGTCGTCGGGAAGAGCCTGAATTTGATGGCTCCCCGGACATTTCGGTAGTCGAGCGTAGCCTCGATATCTTCCAGGTGATCATCTGGGTCCGAGGTTCCGTCGTACGTCGAGAACACATGTGGCTTTTCCATCTTGTGGGGGATGGGAGCTGTCATGATCTCCCGAGACAAGGGGTCCTATAGTCGTCCTCGTCGCTGAGAATCAGGGACGGAGGAGGTGAAGGCCCGTGTCGAGGAGGGGGTTGATTTCGTACCCTCGATTGCCTGATCGGGGGTTCCGCCCCCGTCGTCCTTGGCTCCTGGGCTTGCTTCTCTTTCCTGGTCGGCGACCTTGCCCGCTTCTTAGAGACAATGGGTTAGGGCCTCTCCAACTGTGGTCGGTGACTTCGTGGACAAGGTGATGGACTCCTCGACTTCCCGTACTGCTCTTCCCGCGGAGGGGAGTGGGATGGGGCCTCGTGTTCGAGCGCGCCAATACACTGATTCTGCTGGAACAACATCTGATTTGTCTGGTTGATGGCCGCGAAGAGGGCAACCATCGTTGGGTCCGCGCCAGCCGGAGTGGGGATAAGCTGGAACACTGTCGGGCTTCTTGCCCGAGGAACTTCGTGGTGCGGTGTACCTTCGGGGGAAGGGGAGGCAGTCTGGCCGTCCCTGACGTTAGTCTCACGGAGTTAAGATGTCCCTATGTGACCGTTGCTGTTTGCGGCGGGGACGATGGAGGAGTTGTGAACAGCGTCATCATGGCGTGGGCTAGTCATGATTCTGAAGTGTTGAGAGGTGAAACTTTGGTTCTCTGCTCAGAGGAACGGGGAAGTTTAGTCCCCTCAGTCGGTGCCACTGATCTGACCTGATCAGAAGGGAATCAATGGACCGCCACGCGTCTCTAATCTGTTGCCTGTTCACCGATGGTAAGAAGGAGGAGGGGTGTACCTGCAAGACACTCCGATGCCAAAGTAGGGAATTGGACAGAGTGAGAGCAAATATAGAAAGTAGATTGGGAATTGAATACATGACCCTCTAGTGAAAGAGGGTATTTATAGTGAGACTCCAACGTAGGGCCAACGGTCATTTGCGTTGGGCTAGATGACCAGGCCCAACCCAAGTGACTGTTAGGGCTTACGTGGCGTAGTGAAGACCAGGATGTGGTCTTCGCCCTAGGTCAACTGTCCCGCGATCTCCGGAAGGTAGGCTGACCTGCTCTTTCAGAGGTGGGTAGTTGTCTAACGACGTGTCCCCGCGGAGGGGAGCACGTGGAGAACGTGTGAGGCACACGTCTTTCTGCCCGACGGGGGAAGCGTTCTGCCCGGCAGGGCAATGTCTGGTCGACGGGAGCCATGTGCTCGACACATATGAGGAAGGCTCCTTTGGGCCTTTCCCCAAGTATAGGTGGGCTGGGCCTTCCCGGTCAGGCCGGGGCCCAAGCCAGAACACTATTCATCGACATATCTTACTAATCGTCGAAATCTTGAACCAAACCGCCGTCAAAATGATATGCGAAATACCCTATTTTAGAAAACACTAAGTCCTAATCTTCCTCTTTTAACTTGAGACTTCAACTTCCTTAGATGACAACTCACGTCAAAAATACACTTTCACTGCTCAAACCTTTAAATCTCTTTCATTGTGCTAAGATTTTGGTTCAGTCGAAAATCCCAGCTAACACCGTTAAAAAATATGGAGGAATTATAATAAGGTGACATAAATTAACGTATAATATTTATAAATAGAAATTAAAATTATAATAAAAAAACGAGGGTAATTTTGTCAATATAATAAAAATAGATTTTACAATAACTCATCTCTCTCCCTTCATAAAATCCCCAATTTAAGGGAATGAAAATTGTTGGAGGAAGGATTCTGATTACCTCCAATTTCACCCCTTCTCCTTATAAAAAATTAAACCAAACCTACATAATTTAAAATATTCCCTCCATTCTCTTCTAAAACCCAAATGAAATAAACTCTAGGGTGAGAGTTCTTCTTAGAAATTTTTAATGCACCATATATATTACTTAGGCACCACGTGAAGATTCGAAAATGCTTCTCTAATTCCGTAAATGCATTTTCAGACGTATCCCATGCACACACAATTCATTCATTTTTAAACCACATCCCAATTATATGTATAAATTTAGTTAGGAATTGCATTTCCAAAACCTACTGATTGCCTTTTCTAGAAATAAGGGTGTCTCACAACCATGTATTGTAGTAGGATTTCTATGTATTCTTCCATTTATAGTCACAAATTACCAAAGATTGTAGTGTGTTTGTACATCCTTGCACCTCATGCACACTTGATGTACTTAAGAAACTTGTTATTGCATCACAACAATCTCAATTTTTAGAAAAAAGAATTTTCAAAATTGAATTCACTTTTATTTTTATCTGTCAACCATTGTGTCAACTTTGATTACGTATTTCACGGAACACAACTTTCTAGTCTCAAAATTTTGAGTATTTTTTCCTATTAGTTTAAAAGATTTGTCGTTGCAGAAAGTTGGAATTGTCGGTGGACCATGACAACCAAATTCCCAAGTTTAATTTGAAGTTTCCTACTCTTGAATATTTGCCACAATTGATGATTTTTTCTCAATGGTTTCAAAGATGTACAAACACACTACAATCCTTAGTAATTTATAACTGTAAATGGAAGAATATATAAGAATCCTACTACGATACACGATTGCGAGACACCCCTGTTTCTAGAAAGACAATAAGTATGTTTTGAAAATGCATTTTCGAAAATACATATTTTAAAACTAAATTTATATATAGAATTGAGATATTATTAAAAAATAGATGAATTGTGTGTGCATGAAAAAGCACTCAAAAATATATTTTTAAAATTAAAGAAGTATTTTTAAATTTTTTTGTGGTATCTAAATAATATGTAAGGCAAAGTAGGTTGTGAAAATATAACCCAAGCTAACAAAAAATCAAGGCCCATTTCGTCCGTGGAAGCTACCCATCTTTTTTGTTTCGGAAAAAAAGAACCAAAGAACAGCAACACGCAAGAAAGAACAAGATATGGAAACAACCAACAAAGACGAACCAGAAATCTCCAAACTAGATTTCAATGACTCCGACATCGAATACATCAGTTACGGCGGCGAACACCACCTCCCTCTCATAATGAACCTCGTCGACGAAGAACTCAGCGAACCATACTCCATCTTCACTTATCGTTACTTCGTCTATCTATGGCCTCACCTTTCTTTCCTGGTTCCAAATTTCTCATCTTTTCACTTTTTAATTTCTTTATCGTTTCTCAATTTGTCGCTAATCACTTCAATTTCTGTGGTTGGTTTGTTTTAGGCGTTTCATAAGGGTAGATGTGTGGGTACGGTGGTTTGTAAAATGGGGGAACATCGTAATACTTTTAGAGGATACATTGCTATGCTTGTTGTTATCAAACCCTACAGAGGAAGAGGCATTGGTAATTTCACTTGTTATTTGAGGGTTTATGTGAAGTGATTATGATTATGATTGTTGAATTTTGGGTTTGATTGGTTTTTATGCAGCTACTGAACTTGTTACTAGGTCTATCAAGGTGATGATGGAATCTGGTTGTGATGAGGTATGTATGATGATTGTATGTAATTACGATTTCCCAGATATTATTCGGTTAGCTTGTTTTGTAAGAATTTCTAGGAAAATAGAGTTGAAATAGTTTTGATTTCTAAATGTTTTTGGTTTCTATGTAATTTTGAACTTGAAAGATTATTTTGTTTGTTGGAAATCAGTTGATGATCTTAATTGAAAATCTTCGATAAGTCATAACTTAGAAGTTGATATAAACTTGTCCCATGTCTAGTTGTATCTGATAGGATTGGATTCTTCTTCTTCTTCTCAAATCCCTTTCTTGTTTGTGTTTCTATGGATCTTCTTCGTGTATGTCCTGATCACCAAAGGTGAGAGACTAACATATTCTTCACTATAGTATCTCCTTGACTTTCTCTATGATGTTTCCGTCCCTGATTCTACCGTGTCTTGTGTAATTACTTGTCTTTTCGTTCGTAACATTTTTATCCATTCAATAATGAGTTTTCCTGATATTCAATTTCATTTAACATTCCATGTAACCTTGAGTGGTACTTTTCAATGAAAAATTTCACATGAGACGCAGTTCCTTTTTATGCAACCTGCATGATAGGCTCAAGATACAGAAACCATGAGATTTCTATACAAACCAGTATTCTATAACAGTAGAAAATAAAGAGAAACAAACAGTAGATGGAAATATGAATTTTATTTATGGTAATAAGAGATTACAGAGGAAAAGCGTTCCTTCTGCCACTGAACCTTGCTTCTATAAAGAGAATAACCCTCTATTCATAACGGGCATATATTTTCCCAAAGACACCCGTTCATAAACCCAATCCCACTATCATTCTTCTATAGTTTTGAGTCTTGTGATCTGTCAATTTATCCGTTGATATTGAACCTGTCATGTTCTTTTTATATATTTGTGAACCTATCTTGTGATTTGTTAGTTTGACTTTCAACTGAGTTGCCATGGTATCTTAGATTTCTGGTCTGGATCTATGAATTCATCATTGTTTAATTTATTGATTTTTGCAAAATACTTCAATTTTGTTAGCGTGTTTGCTTTATTGCTGTTATAATGTTGAGTATTACTACACATGTAGTAAATTGTGTACAAATTTTATGGTAGAAGTTCAAAATTAAAACATGACTTTCTATTGAGCAAACACTTATAACTCTACGATTTTGAGTCTAAGCGATTTTACGAGTTTTTAGAGACCATTGAGCTTGGCAACCTTGTCCCCCCTGAGTACCGACTATTATTACCCTATCTTTATACATTATTTTACCTAGAATCAATTTCCATTACTCACTGTCTTTAAATTTTTTTTTTACGCATTACCTTTATATGTTTTACAATCTATCTTATCACATAAATCCTGATCTTGTGTTATAGGTTACATTGGAAGCAGAGGTCACAAATAAAGGAGCACTTGCGCTGTATGGTCGCCTTGGCTTTATCAGGGCTAAACGTCTCTTTCACTACTATTTGAATGGAGTCGATGCTTTCCGTCTCAAACTTCTATTTCCTCGTCCAGAGTTGCACACGCAATACGGAAGTCACACGCATAGTGATCACAGGGATTCACAAATTCATGAATGATTGATTCCATACATTATTATTATGTATTTTTAACAAAAACAATTTTTTGAGGTCATTGCTTTATAAACTCTGATGCTCTGTTATGGTGCATCAGTTTTTTGTCTAGTTTTGGTAGGTTAATGTACATTTTTGTTATTTCCATTTCACTTCTCTTCAACGTTGGATGTTGTAAAATATCTGAGAAATTGTAAAAACAATTCTCTTCCAAATCACAAGTGATGTGAACCCTAATGATGATGAATTTTTTTGCACATGTAACCTACTTTTCATGCAACAATACATTTGAAATATGTTGAAAAGTGATTAGAAGCACAAATGGCTCTTTGATTAGCAACACTAGCAAATGAAGAAAGAAACTACCCCTTGTTGTAAACATTAACATTTTAATATATAAACTAGGAATATAATTTTAGACAGTCACTTAGTTACAATCATTGATTATTTAAAATGTGTTCTGGATTGCTTAGAGACCTGCCCCTTAGTTGGACAAGTCTAACTCAACACTACGTTGGAAGGTTTAACAAGACTCAATCCTTCCATGTTGGGCACGCTTCTCAACAAGGTCCCCCTGTTGGGCAGACCATTATTTGATGCGAGGAGAGTCCACGCGCTTTTTCCACGGACTCCACGTGCCCCATATGCGGGGACACGTCATCAGCCAACTACCCACTTCCAAAGATAACGGGGCAGTTGATCTAGGGCGAAGACCACACGCTGGCCTTCACTACGCCATGTAAGCCCTGACAGTTACTTGTGTTGGGTTTGACAATCCGGCCCACTGCAATGTAATAGTTGGCCATGCGCTGGAGGCACATTATAAATACCCTCTTTAACTAGCGGGTCAGGTATTCCGTTCTCTACACCTATTCTCTCTGTACTTGCACTTTCTAACTCCGTCACTCACTTAAGCATCAGAGTACCTTGCAGGTACACTCTACAACACCAGTGAACACAGGAGCTCATGACTTGTGGCAGACTGCTGATTCCTTTCTGATCAGGTACGATCAGTGGCGCCGTTTGTGGGAACCTTTTGCATTCTCGTTCTTTCTCTTGTCCAAGCATAGAAGCTCAAGAACTAAAGCAACCTTCAACTTTCATACTAATCATGGTCAGCCTACGCGACGACAATGCTCATGAAACCACCTTCATCCCCTTCACCAACGGAGACAACCACGACCTCAACGTGACCAACCGCAATGAAGAAGGCGACTACAGGGACGAGCGCACCGCCTCCCCCTCCTCGGAAGACGTGGCCTTCGATATCGCCCAACGCTTCGACAACCCTGCTGTATACCAGCTCATCCCGGTGCCAGCAGGCGTTGACCTTACCATGGTGGCCCTGTTCGCAGCGATCAACCAGACTAATATAATGATCTTTGGGCAGAACGAGGGAATAAGGATGCTCGAGAGAGAATGACCATCACGCTCTCCTCCGCGGAGACATCGTCGCCCAGTTTCCAACAACCCCTCTCCTCCCCCGCGGGGGACACAACCAGTTGACGACTCTCAGAGCCCCTCTCCTATACCGACTGAGCGTCACCCTTGTTTGGAGCGACCACAGCCGTTGGCTTCCCAGAAGCGGGGCAAGTCGCCTCCCCGGAAGGAACGACGCTCCCCAGTTCTGAAGAAGAACAAAGCCCAATGGGGTGCCTCCAAACCAAGAGCCCGACCGAAGAGTCCTCCCTGATGGAACAGAAACAATCAGGGATCAATCACCCCCTCACTGTCACCCGTCAGGAGTGACGAAGACATCCAGCGCTTGACACTATGTAGAGCCATCAGGGAGGCCCCACTATCCGCCGGGATGGAGAAACCCCCGTCCTTGGAAACATACGATGGCACGGCCGACCCGGACGACCACATCGAAAGCATCAACACGATACTCGATTATCGAAATGTTTGGGGAGCCATCAAGTGCAAGATATTCCCTACTACCCTGAGGAAGGGAACCATGGCATGGTACAAACGCCTCGCGCCCGAATCCATCACCTCCTGGGGAGAACTCAAGAGGCAGTTCTCCAGGAAATTCACGGCCTCCCGGCGTCATCCGAAGACAGAGGCAGCCCTATAAGCCATTATCTAGGGAAAGAACGAACCTCTCCGAGACTACATAGAGAGGTTCAACCGAGAGTCTGTCTAGGTGTCCACCGCAAACACATGAAGAAATTCCTGATTCAGAGAGGCATACAACCTCACTCCGACTTTGCCAAGACCTCACTCTACAGAGCCTAATCATACAATGAGTATGAGGAGATAAAAGCCGCGAACGCTGCTAGGGATACACGGAACCAGGAGGGCTTCAGGGGCGCCAGGCATGAGGAGTCCGCCTCCTCCTTGACGAAGCGAGGAAAGAAGATGCGAAGACCAACCCCATGAGCAGAGGGGACTCACGGTCCGACTCACTGAGTACACGCTGCTCACAGCTTCCCACGAGTGCATCCTGTCCGAATACATCGATTTAGAATTTCAGAGGGGGGTGTCTGTTTCCCGAAACCGACGCCCTTGAAGCCCAACGTGGAAAAGTCCAAATACTGCCGGTTCCACCGGTCATGGACACGTCACGGAGGATTTCATCCACCTCAAGGATGCAATCAAGATCTTAATTAAGGAAGGGCACCTAAAACACTACACCTGGAGATGTGAAAATCCCAGACCTGAGGCCCGCGAAGCCAAGAGGGTCGAGGAAGTATCTCCTCCCTCCGACGAAACGGGACTACAAGTCGCCTTGTGTGTCTCCCGACCAGAGGATTTCCTCTTTATTAGTGAGCCCGCCAGACCGTTGTTCGTCCACAGTCCGTGGGAAGATTTCCCAGCCACCCTGGTCATTGCTTTATAAACTCTGATGCACTATTATGGTGCATCAGTTTTTTTGTCTAGTTTTGGTTGGTTAATGTACATTTTTGTTATTTCCATTTCACTTCTCTTCAACGTTGGATGTTGTAAAATATCTGAGAAATTGTAAAAACAATTCTCTTCCAAATCACAAGTGATATGAACCCTAATGATGATGAATTTTTTTTGCACATGTTTCCTACTTTTCATGCAACAATACATTTGAAATATGTTGAAAAGTGATTAGAAGCACAAATGGCTCTTTGATTAGCAACACTAGCAAATGAAGAAAGAAATTATCCCTTGTTGTAAACATTAACATTTTAATATATAAACTAGGAATATAATTTTAGACAAACTTAGTTACAATCATTGATTATTTAAAATATGTTCTGAACTGCGTCGAGACCTGCCCCTCAGTTGGACAGGTCTAACCCAACACTACGTTGGGAGTTCTAACAAGACCCAATCCTCCCATGTCGGGCACGCTTCTCAACAAGGTCTCCCCAGTCGGGCAAACCACTATTTGATGCGAGGAGAGCCCACGCGCTTTCCCCACGGACTCCACGTGTCCCCCACGCGGGGACACGTCATTAGGAAACTACCCATTTTCGAAGATCACGGGGAAGTTGATCCAGGGTGAAGACCACATGTTGGTCTTCACTATGCCATGTAAGCCCTAACAATTACTTGTGTTTTTGTTTGACAATCCGACCCACTGCAATATAACTATTGGCCATGCACTGGGGGCACATTATAAATACCCTCTTTAACTAGAGGGTCAGGTATTCCATTCTCTACACCTATTCTCTTTGTACTTGAACTTTCTAACTTCGTCACACACTTAAGCATCAGAGTACCTTGTAGGTACACCCTCTCCTCCTCTACAACACCAATGAACACAGGAGCTCACGACGTGTGGCAGACTGTTAATTCCTTTCTGATCAGGTACAATCAGTGGCGCCGTCTATGGAAACCTTTTGCATTTCCATTCTTTCTCCTGTCCAAGCATAGAAGCTCAAGAACCAAAGCAACCTTCAACTTCCTTTCTAATCATGGTCAGCCTACACGACGACAATGCTCATGAAACCGCATTCATCCCCTTCACCAACAGAGATGGCCACGACCTCAACGTGACCAACCACAATGAAGAAGGCGACTACAGGGACGGGCACACCGCCTCCCCCTCCTCAGAAGACGTGGCCTTCGACGCTGCCCAACTCTTCGACAACCCTGCCGTATACCAGCCCATCCGGTGCCAGTAAGCGTCGACCCTACCATGGTGGCCCTGTTCGCAGCGATCAACCAGACTAATCTAATGATCTTCGAGCAGAACGAGGGAATAAGGATGCTCGAGAGAGAATGACCATCACGCTCTCCTCCACGGAGACATCGTCGCCCAGTTTCCAACAACCCCTCTCCTCCCCCGTCGGGGATGCAACCAGTTGACGACTCTCAGAGCCCCTCTCCTCGACCGACTAGGCGTCGCCCTCGTTTGGAGCGACCACAACCGTTGGCTTCCTAGAAGCGGGGCAGGTTGCCTCCCCGGAAGAAACGACGTTCCCCATTTCTGAAGAAGAACAAAGCCTAATGGGGTGCCTCCAAACCAAGACCTCACTCCCGCGATCCCAATCATACAATGAGTATGAGGAGATAGAAGCTGCGAACACTGCTAGGGATACACAGAACCAGGAGGGCTTCAGGGGCGCCAGGCATGAGGAGTCCGCTCCTCCTTGACGAAGTGGGGAAAGAAGACGGGAAAACCGACCTCGTGAGCAGAGGGGACTCGCGGTCCGGTTCACTGAGTACACGCTGCTCATAGCTCCCCACGAGCGCATCCTGTCCGAATGCATCGATTCAGAATTTCAGAAGGGGGTGTTCGTTTCCCGAAACCGACGCCCAATGTGGAAAAGTCCAAATACTGTCAGTTCCACCGAAGTCATGGACACGTTGAAATCAAGATCTTAATTAAAGAAGGGCACCTAAAACAGTACACTTGGAGAGGTGAAACTCCCAGACCTGAGGCCCGCGAAGCCAAGAGGGTCGAGGAAGTATTTCCTCTCTCCGACGAAACGGGACTACAAGTCACCTTGTGTGTCTCCTGACCAAAGGATTTCCTCTTCTTTAGTGAGCCCTCCAGACCGTTGTCCGTCCACAGTCCGTGGGAA